CCTCTCTCCCCCCCCTTCCTCCCTTCTTTTCTCAGTGCTGGGGATTGAACCCAGAACCGCTTCTGTGCTGAGCAGTTGCTCTACTGCTGAGGCACCTTTTCAGCTTCTCTCTTTTTGTTTTTAAAGTAAATATTTTATTATTTTTTTTTATGTGTGTGAGAGTATTGCCTGCATGTGTATAAGTGTACTCTGTGGCATGCAGTGCCCACGGAGATCAGAAGAGGGTGTCAGTCCCCTGGAACTGGAGTTACAGACGTGGTGGTTGTTAGCTACCACGTGGGCACTGGGAACTGAACCCCAGCCCTCTGCCGGAGTAGCCAGTGCTCTTAACTGCTGAGCCATCTCTCCAGTCCCTACTTTTTCTTTTGAGACAAGGTTTTGCTAAGTTGCTTAGGCGGGCCTTGAACTTTCTATCCTTCTGTCTCAACCTCCCATGAATGGCTGGGATGACGGGCTTGTGCCAAGGGGCTATTACATTAAAATCCATTTAATTAATTTACTTATATTTTATATGTTTTATGTGTATGAGTGTTTTACCTGCATGTTTGTAAATCACCACATGCATGCAATACCCACAGAGGCCAGAAGAGGATGTCAGATATCCTGGAACTGGTTAGCTGCCATGTGGGTGCTGGGAACTGAGTGGGTTCTCGCAAGAGTGGCCAGTTCTCCTAACTGCTGGGCCGTCTCTCCAACCCCTACATTTTTTTAAATGAAGCAGAGTTTGGAATTTTATTAAAGATATTTTAATATTGGCTTAAACACAAGGGTTAGGAGGTGGCTGTTCAGGAGAGCCTCGTCCAGGCGTGGGCGCCCCTCCTTCAGGAGAGTTGCTGCATTACTGGTATGTTTTCAACCGCCAAGGGGGTTACATCAGATCTCTTCCTAAGTTGAGCGTCTGTCCCACTCTGTGTAGCCCAGGCTAGCTATGAACTCATGACAATCCTCCTGCCTCAGCTTCCTGAGTGGTGGGATCATAGGTATGTACCACCACACCTGGCGCTACCTATCTTGCTTAACAGAAAGGAACACCGAGGCCTGAGGCGGACAGTGTTGGCCAGGGCTGGGCCTGTGGTCCCGACCCCACTGGTGCCCACTCCGCATGGTGATGAGGCCACCCTTCATCTCTCGCTTCTTGCCCTCTCCCCGCACAGGGCCTGTACTTGGTCTATCACCCCGTGCAGCTCTCCACTCCCCATGCCACAGGCACCCTGCTGCTCGGCCTGCTGGGTTACTACATCTTCCGAATGGCCAACCATCAGAAGGACTTATTTCGCAGGACGGACGGGCGCTGCCTCATCTGGGGCAAGAAGCCCAAGGTCATCGAATGCTCCTACACGTCTGCCGACGGGCAGAAGCACCACAGCAAGCTGCTGGTGTCGGGCTTCTGGGGCGTGGCCCGCCACTTCAACTACACGGGCGACCTAATGGGCAGCCTGGCCTACTGCCTGGCCTGCGGTGGCGGTCACCTCCTCCCCTATTTCTACATCATCTACATGACCATCCTGCTCACTCACCGCTGCCTCCGTGATGAGCACCGCTGTGCTAACAAGTACGGCCGTGACTGGGAGCGCTACAGCACGTCGGTGCCCTACCGCCTGCTGCCCGGGGTCTTCTGAGGGCCTTCCCCAGGGAGGCTTTAGCAAGGTGTGGAGCTGGCCATGGGGCTGGCATCCCCGCTTTCCCCGTAGGGGCCTCAGTTTCCACACCCAGAGAATGGTCAGCTTGGTGCTGTGCAGGTGTCTAGCCTGTAGCAAAGTTCTTTCCCATCTTCCCCAGGGGAAAGCCGAGCTTGTGCCTTTCCACCAACAGAAATGACTAGTTTTCTCTATCCCAAGGGCAGAGGACTTTAGCCCTTTCCTAACGGCTCTGCTCCGTCGGGATCCCCCTGTCCACGCTGCCCAGGTAATGGGTGTCTGAGGTGCAGCAGGCTCCTGTAGACAGTAGCACCATTTCCTGCCGAGTCAGCCGAAGTGGATCTACAGTGTGCTGGTTGGCAAAGCTGCCTTTCCTCATCCGCTCTGAGGTGGGGCTGGGCCCCTGGGCCCTTCCTCCTCTGCAGCATGCAGTGTTGATGGGTCAGCAGAGGACACCCCCCTCCAGCTTTGCAAGGGGAAACCATTTCTGTTTCAGTTATGTGTGGGGTTTCAGTTTCTCGTTTCTACCCCACAGCTGCCAGGCATCGCCTGGGACGTCCAGAGGCACTGTCCTCTGCATAGGTCCTGGCTAACCTCTGCCAAGGTCTTTCTGACATAAGAGAGGGTTCCCAGTGCTAGACTCCATGGGAAACCCCCAGCAGCTTGCCTGGCTGCCCTCTTCCAGAAGGTGCCTCTTGCTTACCCCAGAGAACATACTCAGCCCAAGATGCATCACCAGCCAGGGGCCTCAGCCACACCTTCCCCAGCAGGAGTTCTGGTGTTGGGTAGGGGACCTCTTCTCATCAGGGACACTGTCCCCAAACCTCAGGGTATTCTGTAAAATCTAGATGAGATTATCCTAGCCTTGCTGATAATTCTTTATATTAAACTCCCCCTGTTAAAAAAAAAATTGCATTGTACCGTTTCCTGAATGGGCCTGACGATTGGGGGTAGAGGAGGCTGTCCCATTGGGAATTGGGGTGACCTGTACCCCCACCCTCCTGTTATCATCTAGGGGTCTTGATTGGATTCATTTTCTTGGCCAGTTAATTAAAAAGCAGAAAAATCTCAGACACAGTAGAAAGGAACAGCCACAGACTTCCTCAAAAGTGAAGCCAAGAGGCTGGAGAGATGGCTCAGCAGTTAAGAGCACTGACTGCTCTTGCAGAGGACCCGAGTTTGAGTCCCAGCACCCACATGGCGGCTATGAACTGTCCTTAACTCCAGTTCCAGGGGAATCCGAAGCCCTCTTCTGACCTCCTTGGCATTGTACGGGTGCACTCACATACGTGCAGTCAATACACTAATACACATAAAAATACATTTTAAAAATTAGGGGCTGGAGCTGGGTGTGGTGGCACACGCCTTTAATACCAGCACTCGGGAGGCAGAGGCAGGTGAATCTCTGAGCTCCAGGACAGCTGGGGCTACAGGGAGACTCTGTCTCAAAAAGATTGAAAAAAACAAAAAAAAATAGGGGCTGGAGAGATGACTCAGTGGTTTAAGACCGTGTAATGCTTTACCAGAGGACCAAGGTTCAGCTCCCAGCGCCCAATGAGGCTCGTAAATGCCTGTGATCCAGCTACAAAGGACCCATGCCTTCTGGCCTCCATGGGTACCTACTTGCATGTGAGTATACATGTGCGCACACATGCACATACACACTAAAATAAATCTAAAAATTTTTAAGTAAATAGAAAAATAAAATTTAGCCTGGGTGTGTGACTCATGACTAATCCCAGCACTCGGGAGACTGAGACGGGACAATTGCCAAGAGTTTGAGACCTGCCTGGACTGTATACTGAGTTTTAAGACAGCCAGGCTTTATATAGAATGAGACCCTGTCTGAAAAATAAGGGGAAGGGGCACCCAAGCCACCACCCTATTGACAGTTGATGAGGGAGGGAGAGCCAGTTTTCTTTCGGGCTGTGGTTCCTGTTGGGTCAACCTTGCTGAAGACTTAGTTGGTCCTGTCAAAATGAGTTAAATCTTGAAACCCCACTGCTCAGAGCTTTCCAAGGCACTCAGTGAGGTCAGAGGTCGTTCCAGAAGCTACCTTAGTCACCCTCTTCGTTTTAATCTCTCAGACCCCACACCAACCCAGCAAAGGCCACTTCAGCCATCTTTCCGGTCCTCCAAGGACCCGGAAGGCTTGTTCCCTCTGTTTGGATCTCGTGCTAGATAGGAGTGACCGCTCCGTAGTATCTCCACAGCTCTGGTGTCCATGACACCCCACCTTGCCTTCTTATAGAAACGTCTGCTCTGGAATTGAATTCACTGGTTTAACCGGTCTGCCCTGCTGACAGCTGCACACCCTAGGGGCTAAATTATTGGTCATGTGACTTGCAGATGTTTTCCCCCCTTCCTCAGAAAAGTGCCCCCTCTCCCAACATGCCCTCCTCCCCACGTCAGCAGCTGACTAGCTGCTCTTAGAGCTCCTACGGGGCGGGGGGGGGGTTGGTGGCAGCTACTGTGAGACCGTGCATGCAGATTTGCTCAGTACTGGCCTATGGGGTGACTACAATCTCATCAGCCTGTGAGGAGCCAAGATCTCCTCTCCATAATAAGAGCTCTGGGATTCAGAGTATTGAAAGTGATGCCATTTATTTTATGACTTTGCAAAGCCCAGCACTAGCCCAGAATGGTGCGTGCGGTTGCGTAGAGAACAGAGAAGAGTTTTTATAGACCCAGCGCCCTTCCTCCATTTCCTCATCGGCTGCGTTATCAGGAGGGTCAGCTGGGTCTCATACTTCCAGCTGCCACTTAGGTTTGTCCGTTTCTTCACAAAGACCACGTGTGCGTTCATCTCTCCAGCACCATCCTGTTTATTTTAAAGCTTTTCAGATGTAATGACCAGAGCAACTCCGTTTGTACGAAGCACCACCTCAGTCAGACTTTAGAAGCCGGAGAAGCAGCTGGCGCAAGGCCCGAACTCAGTTCTAGTAAGTTACCTCCCTTAGAAGGGTGTTTTCTTTTTTAAAGATAACTGCAGAGGAGAGCGTCACCACCCAGACCCTGCAACTGTGCTTCCCAAGGGAGAATAAACAGTATCCTGTCTTTCTTGGTAATATGCTGAAATAATCAGAAAGCTCCTTACTATCTAGGTCTCTATACGTCTAAGAAAATGACTAACAACTGCTGGTTTTGGCTTCTGTAAACTTACTGCTGCATTTAAGAGTCAGTGTGCCCCCGCTGTCCTTGCAACTGCCAACACCACAGGAATGAAGCAGCTTGTGGTTTCTGCCTTTATAAAGATTCCCTCCCCTCCTGGCTTCTTGGCACACAGCCTCTGGAGACTGTCCGCAGCTGCAGCTCTAACAAACACTTGGCTAACTAAAATCTGAACTGGGTCTTTTCCCGGTGGTCTCAAACTCCATAACACAGGTATGTGAACTTGTCACATCTGCAAGTCTTTGGGCAAGCTTGACTGTTGGTAATTTTCTACCCTAAACTTTTAGTTTATAGGGTAGTTACACTGATAGAGTTTGGTGGGGAAGATCTTGAGGCTGCCAGCAAGGGTCCAGTATTTTCTGTTTATCTGTAATTAGACTTAACTGACTTAAGGTACTTTTTTTGTTGTTTTTAACCTTATTTATTATTTTTAAATGATTTATTGAGAATTTCATACATGCATATAAGGTGTTTTGATCAAATCCATGCCCACTCCCTCCCCTCCAACACCCTTCATATCTCCCCATCACTTTTTTCTGATAACTTCATGTACTTTCTTCATTTATTTTTTTATGGAGCTTTTGGATTCTGTAACATCCCCCCCTCTGAAGAGGTAACCCTAAAATCTTTTAAGGATTAAATACAAGCTCCCAAATACTTTCGATATTTTTGGCCTTTGGAACAGAGTATGTTGCTAAGAGGCCAAAGGACATTTTGACTTTTAGCCAAGAAACTGGATACATTTCTTTACCCTACATTATCCTAACGGCCTACATTCCCCTGCCTAGCCAATTCCTATCTCCTATTCTTATCACACCATCCTCTGAAGAGGTTACCCAAATTGCTGATAGGGAATCAGGTGCAGACCGCTCTGGCTTCTTCCATGCTGAACAGGGATGCAGGGTGAGGCAATTGGAGTACCCCTTCAGTGGGTCTATCTAAGAGACCCCAAATTGCATAACTTTTATCTCTAAGGGGAAAATAATGTCCTTCAATCGTGACTAGGAGATGTGAAGAAGAAGTAAAGGCAAGAGTGATTAGATTAAGTAATTGTCTA